GAACGTGCAGCCACACGGTTGCTTAGAAGTATATAACCAACCAAAGCATGGAGAATGGCAGAAAGTAGGCATATAAAACACAACCAAGAGACAACAATGCTCCAACACTGCACATGAAAGAAATTTAGCCCATTCAAGTACCCATTCCCAGAGAACATGCAAAAACGCAAACAGTTGTTTCGTTCCATGAGCATTAGAAAATTCATAGTATTAATTTCTTGGTATAATATATATCCAAACTTCCCTATATTCAAGAAAAGTAGGTTTTATTGGATAAAATCAATTTTTTATACCGTAATAATATAAGGGATAAAATCATGTATGCCAACTACTTAAAATGCAAAAATGGCACGGTAGGGAATTATAAAACAGAATCAGCCAATGATGATGGGGAATGCAGAAACCAAGTACAGAGCTCCATATCCCTGCGTGAAAATGTCCCTTGTCAGAAGCAGCTCCAGAGGAAGTTTAACTTATCACGATTTCAGTAAAATGTGAGTAACGTTAAGGCTTTCTCTACTAGCTCAATGTGGATTTAATCATGACCTGATCTACTAAAAGAAAAGTTAATTTATTATCCTCCATAGCTGTCCAAAAAATAAAGTTAAAATTGGTGCTCTTAACGCTACACTAGATTGCACACAGACTAAATGCCTAGCTAAATATCAAAATACAGATTCTTAGCATTATCTCATTCACTAGCCACAGCTGGAGGAACTTCAGGCTCATCACTCTCACCAGCTTCCTCAGTCCATGTTGAGTCGCTTAGCAGCCGCTTTCAGATCAATACCGGTGTTGTGGCTTTCGCATACAGAGATTTGCTAGGTCTGATTTTCTTTGAGGCTTAAACCTGAACACAACATGAATGGAGCATGACCATTAGTTGGCAGACAATAATATCAGTGCCATACAAGGGCATAGTACTACGAAGCCACTAAATCAAAGATTTGGTATAGATAAGTATTCTGTAGATATAGCCAATGTGCAAGGTCAAATGAAAGCTTAACCAAAGAAGAAGATAGTAATGGCATCCTAAAGGTTCATCATTAACACTACTTTTGATATAGTTGCAGAATATGTCTCAAAAAGACTCAAAGCCACCCTGGAATAAAGGTAGAAACTCACACAAACATCATCTTACTGTTGCAGACAAATATTCATTTAAATGAATAGATTGATGAAGCACAATACTAATTAAGATGGTATGGTGCAGATACAAAAAGCAGAAACGCTGGCCAGCGATCCTATTGTATCTGTAAGGAACACAAAAAGTACAGAATTATATCAAGATCCAAAGCAAAATCAGCATTGCCCCAAATTTTAGATTTCGACTTAGAGCACCATGACCAGGACCGTCAAAATTTTGCTTTTGGGAAGTTTATTATTGAACCTCTACATTATTAATCCAAAATACCTTTTAAGGACTTGGGATGCTGATGTTTGATTATTGAAATCTCAAATCTTAGGGCAAAAATAGGATAAATTTGAGATTTTCCTATAGCTCAGTCTAAAAAGAATACAAAAATAAAGAACTTTTGACCTTCTTATCCCGTGTCTGAATCATATGAAAAGAAACTTTATAACAACCTATAAACAGCATTTCATTCAAAATTATGAATTTAAAATGCTAACCAACGCAAAGACTGGAACTAAACAATTTGAACATCCACATTCTTGCTGTCATCTTCCTCTCTATTTGAACTAAATCTGTGGCTGTGGCTGTGGCTGTGGCTGTAGCCGCTATACAGTCACTTTATGTTTTGCAGATTAATAGCTGCAAGTGATGTTGCTCAAAAGAAAAAGAGATGGAAACTAAACGCCACATAACATGTCTCATGACGCAGTGGTTGTAAACCCTGCTTTTGTCTGATTACCTTTTATGTTACATTCCCTCATCTGCATAGACCAGTCATATATCCAGTCTAACGAAATGATCGTTTGAGTCTTAACAAAATATAGTCTTGTCTTTGAAGTGTTTCTATGTCTGATTTGAAATATAGCTTGAGCAAAAAGGAAAAAAAGGAAAACAAAAAATTGATGTTTGCTTTAAGCCCACTAGTGAAATCTTAGCATTATCACAGTAGAATGGAAGCGGAAATTTGAACATAACCATAAAAAATTAATGGTAAAATATTGTTTACAGTGCATAAAGCTATGGTAGTACCTCTAAATTAGGCCAATAAGTCATCTCTTGGGCCAGCATCCGCAGAGAAATACAATCTTCAGGTACTATTCAGACTTTGCTTCCAACATCATAAAACACTTCAAAAACTACCCAAAACCTTTTTTCCTTGAACTGGTTACTGCTAGTAATTAAGGACCTTTTAGAATTTATAACAGATTGCAATATTTAAGAACTTGGGAATCTATACCAAATAGAAACAACTAACCAGGTTTACCCTGTTAAGGCAAGCCGAGTATTTACATATTGCCTAGCATAAACCAATCATTCAGAACTATGGCGGCCAGATAAAGCAAAGGAAAAGAAAATCCATTGCTGCTCCTTCCATCACTTTTTTACATGAGGTATAGTTTATTTTCAAGATGTCCCAAAATAATAAAGCTGTGATGGGCATGTATGCGACGATCAAACACAGCTTTGCCAGCTGCCTGCGATAGGAAAAAGAAAACTTGATCAGATAGTTTGTGTGGGGCATTTCCCAGCTCGCCTTTGATCTTTCCCTTGCTGTGTAGGTAAAGCTAGAAGATGCAAGAGGAAGTATCTTGCATTAGTACAAACTGTTTTCTCCAAAGGGTGTCATTTGTCATGTATTTTCAGGCAATTTCTAATATAATCTTCTCCTTTGCCAATTGTCATACAATCCCATAGAATGTCAGTGCTTCATTAAACAATCTTTGAACAAATTCATGCAATCAGGAAATTATTATTTCTCATACAGTTTCAATTTAGGGCCAAGATTTTCATCCAGCTTTCCTAACAAAAACATTACCTCTGAAAGTCATTGATTGCAACACATCACAAGCACATAATATCACCAAAAACATTTTTCCCTCTGATATCTAGTTTTCTAAAACATTTAAAACCCCTTCTAATTCTATCAGTAAGTATCTCAGAGAAAAGTCAATAAGAACTCCCAGACATCTAAAGCATCTTTGAGCATCATCTCTCCTCCTTGAGGACTTGATAGGTGTTGTCCCATTAAATGATAGGTTACTTAATTCCAAATTTTCCTTGATTCAACTAGTAGGTATACAGATCATCTTGTGGACATTTGTAACCAAAAGGACCTGCTAGGTTGTCAATGTTTCACCATGTTTACTACCATAATAAATAAAAGTAATGAAATGAATTGTCCGTTTCTAAGAATTTACCTGCTACAGGCAGCAGCAGAATACAAAAGGATGCCCTTAGGGTGTATTAACAGGTGTATACACAGCCTTCTGAGTCACATTCCTGATTAGTACATTAAATGTCTCTTAACAATGAAGTGTGTACATAAATACATAATGGAAGCACTTTGTTGCCTTTACCGTACTATTTCCAACCTTTCCAACATAAACAACATTCTTTTTATCCAAAACATTTGACACCATTCCGCTGGTAATATAATTTTACACAATTTTTGCAAGTTCTAAAATTTCAATTTTTTTTTTTTACTGAGGGACGGGCATTCATAAACCTACTAGTCAAATATCACACCTTCCACAAATTAAACGGATCTTTCTTAATGATCATAAAGTCTATTTAATTCAAAAGAAAGGGGCAAAGCCCTTCTCAAAAGATTTTTGAAAAGAAAGATTAAAATATAAAATTGAAAGGTAAAACGTCGGTACTTAATGGCAGGAGAACAATGCATTGCAAACTCATAGAATGTAATACTTAATGCAACTATAGGCTGACCTGTTCCTCTTCTTGACACAAGACATGGCGACCTTGAGACTCCTGTTTCACAACACTCAACCTTGCAAGGGCTACCTTTTCAGAACAAAACAACTATATTTTAATATAAATTATAATGTGACAGTCATTCCATCAAAATAACTTTTCCACTATTATTTGATATTTTCTTCCAGTCTTCCACAAATAATTCATATAAAACACAACTTAAACTAACTTCTTAAATTCTGTAACCAATCAAATGGTGTCATATAAAAGCAGATAGAGGGAATAGTACTCTTCCAAATAAAAGTACATGGTAATGTCTGATTTGCTAAACAAAATATCCCTCATAATTACTGCAGAGAAAATAGCTTTACACTTAAATTTTTAATTCAACAATGCTTAAACATGCAGTTTCAATAAGGTAAGTTATTCCTTCAGAACCAAAAAAATTGATTCCACAAGCAGCAAACCAGGAATGCATTTCACAAACAGCTAGATGAGTCAAAAAGCCATATGATTTGGTATACACTGATGATGTAAGGCATATGTAGAGCAGTGACTTACTTCTTCCAGTGCATCAGCTAAGTCGTCCCTTGTTGGAGCATTTTCATCATCAAGGCCAAGCAGCCTCCTCCGCTCAACATCTCTTGGGTCTTCAATCATTATAGTTAACTTAACCTGTAATAATCCCAAAATAACAGGGGGAAGTCAATGTTAACATAAATCAATTGAGAAACAAATTGACTTTTGTGTTACCTGTTTTGGCAAAATAATTAAGACACTCCATAAGGTTCTAAAATAGCAGCGCCACATTATAATAGCAACTCGAGAGAAAGAAACTGCAGTTAAAATGTAATAGCAACAACCAGTGTAATCTCACAAGTGGGTTCTGGGGAGGCTAGTGTGTATGCAAACCTTACCCCTACTTTGTGAAAGTAGAGAGGTTGTTTCCGGTAGACCCTCGGCTCAAGGAAAGGAGGAAAAAAAAGAAGGAAGCAATAGCAACCAACTGTAACAACAACAAGATAATAAGATAATTGAAGCGAACGAAACAACAAGTAGTAATACAAATCTAAGAATAAAGAAATACAAGAATAATACTAATACTACTGGTCAAACTATATATATCTTTGGACGTCTCAAAAATGTTTCCCCCCATTCTACTAATAATATTATATAACAACTTAAATTACCATGAATTCAAATTCATTTGCCCCCAGGGGTTTGGTTTAATTAATGGTAAGAGTGCATCATGTGATGTGTCAGTTTTGCGCACGCCACGATTTTGAATCATGTCGGAGACAAAAGCGTGGTATTTTAGTGGAGAAAGGATAGAGGTGTAGGGCTCATTATCCAACCAAGTTTCGAGCATTTCATGTTATCAAAAAAAAAAAGTTCATTTAAATTCAACATTTAAGCTTTGATGTAATGCTTTTTCTAAAAGCTAAAATTACAGCCATTATTTTAATATTGTCTTCACTCCAACTAATGTACTTCTTTTACATACAAAACGGAATGCATGGAGTATATACACTAGTCAAATTAACTGCAAGCTCACTCAAATTGTGTCAAATAAAATGAGACTAAGTCACTAAGGGGATGTGCAGCAAAAAATTTGAGTGATATTCAGAGGTGAAAGAAGCAACTGGAAGGGGCAATCATGTTAAAGAAACACGTATCAAAAGATACTCATCAAGGTAATTAGGGGCAATTAGGCAATGGAAATGATGGCGAGATACTAAACTCGTTTGACTTGGGCGACGTGTTCAAGGGCTTCAGTATCTGCAGAGGAGGTGATAGCCTCAGTTTCTTCTTCGTTGCTCACTTCGCTTGTATGGAACAAACAGAGGTCCCACGCCTTTGCCACTGCTTCTGCTGCGTAAAAATAAAATGCCCGCATTGGAGAAACTGGCGAGGGCGTTCTTGATTAAAGAGTAGGACATGAACCGGACTGCCTGAGGATGAAACAACTGGAAGGAATGGCAATGCAGGAGGTTCGAATCGAGGCCATTGCCGTGCGCTTATTGCAGAGAGAAAACGAACCATTGCTCGCTTGATGTGATATGTACGTATGTTCCACATAACTCAAGAAGCAAACAAAGCAAAAGGCCTAATTTTGTGCCGAGCTGAAAGAAGAGGGAATCGGTGAACATGGGGGCCGACTCACTCAATCTCAATTCACTCCAGCCCAGTATGACACTTCACTATGTGCCAAACCAGAGTTATTGCACCCCTAACTAAGCTGGGCCATCGCAGCGAAAAGGGTCAATTATCCATTTCAGTCCATTTTCTGTTCAGCCCAGTTACAGGATCATGCATAAAAATGAAAGAATTAACACAAAAGCCGTTCATCCAACTATTTAAACTAAAAATGGTCGAAAGATATATATATTATATATGCATAATTGTATATAATCAATGTATAGTCTATGTTATATGATTAGAAAAAGTAAACAATGCATATGTTATTGTATAAAGATCCCCATACAAATTGTGCGAAGTATGCCCCAATGAGGTTAGTCTTAGTTGAATATCCCAATAATTGGCGAAATTTAATAAATGGACTCCACTTCTTTTCCTTGTATGCTAAATATCATAATTTCCCCTTTAGCTCATTCTCCATCTCTTCTTCTTCACCAAAAATACCATAATTCTTCATATTTGGAAGATTAAAATTCTTGTTTGGGGTTTGAAATTCGAAGTTAATGGTTAATTACTATTAAATCGTTTGAGTGTTGAAAATTTTCAGTCTAAATACTGATTTAATATTTACTTTAAAAATCTCAAAACACCATTATTGATCCTTAGAAAGTATTGAAGAAGATAAAGTGGGTCTTCTTGATTTGGTGTTATTTTGACTAAATTGATGATTAAAAATTATTGGTGTTGATATTTAGGGGCTTTGTTTTAAATTTGAGATCACTCAGAGAAGATTTGGTATGGTTTAATCAAAATTGAAATTACAAATTCAAAGAACATTTTGTTGAACAATACAAAAAATTATGCCAATCGGAAAGATTTTGATGAACAATTTAACAGATAAGTCAATTACAGATAATATAAAGTTAGGCCAATCTAGTATATTTTGATGAATAATTGAACAAGCGCAAAGCATGCCAATCAGGTAGAGTTTGTGAACAATTAGGTAAAGTAAATATTTTTTACTCTATATTTAAAAAAAATAGTAAAATTGCACGGGGTGCTCTATTTGGTCGCCCCCATTTAACCTATACCTATTTTTTTTTAAATAAAAATTAATTTGTACCTACTTTTTAAACAACTTCAGTCATCTTTCTTCTCCTCCTTCGTTTTCTTCTGCTCCTCCTTCTTCTTCTTCGGGTTAATTGGTTAATTGGATGTGGTACTACTGCCACAAGAAGTGAGTTCATAATTCTGTATTTAGTCCAACACCAGAGAATAAAGTAAGGAGATTATATCAAGGTGAAAGCTCCAAAACGAAAAATGAGTGCAAAGTCAGATGGAACATAAATCACGAAATGACATTTACTATATTTTAATCTTCCACAGTTGAATATTGACATTGATTTAGCCTAAATAAATTGTTGGAAGATGAGAAAGTTATTCATTTTCTTAAATCCATCTAACTTCAAAGAAAGACGTAACAGAACTTCAGCTCTAAGAATGTTGAAGTTGAGCAAATATAAATAAAAACTTCAGCTCCTAAAATTCTGAAATTCAGCAAATATAAATAAAAACTCCAGCTCCTAAAGTGTTGAAGTTCAGCAAATACAAAACAAACTTTAGCCCTAGAATGCTGAAGTTCAGACATTACAAAACAAACTTCTGCTCCTAGAATGCTGAAGTTCAGCAATTACAAAACAAACTTCAGCTCCTAGAATGCTGAAGTTCAACAATTAGAGATGCAAAATCTTCAACCAAAACATGTTGTAGTTTTATTGAACTGAAGTTTATCATTGCACTATGAACTGAAGTTTGTGTGATTGCATTTGCAAGTCAAGCAAAAATATCTGAAGTTTTGCTACACTTCAGGCAAAGCATTCTTAAATTCAAACTTCAGACATAAATTCTTGCTACTTCAGGCTCGTATGTCTAAAGTTACCCGAAAAGTGGATCGCTTGCAAATTTTTTTGCAAAGCAGGTATAAGTTAAAAGTTCACCCCAAAATTGGGTATAGATGCAAATGCCCCAAAAAAATATAGATAATATTTTAAAGAGAAATTTTCATAAAGCACTGTCTTTTAGTGGTAATTAGCTATCTATAGATATCACCTGCTATATTACGGGTTGTAGATACGTTTTTTGTTATTATAAGATGTATTAGATGTATTTAAGCTATTGTATTCATGAATACAATAGCAAAAATAGGCGTAAATCAGGGAAGTCCAGCTAATCAGTTGTTATATTCGAGTGTATTCGACTGTATTTATGGAGTGAAACATGAGATTACAGCTGGACAGATTATTGTATTCGACTGTATTCGACTATATTCACGGCGTGAAATAGGGGATTACACTATTTTTAAATGGAAAGTGTATCAATTAACATAATAGACTCCTAATATAACTTATCAAACTCAATTATAACACACAAAATTTGTATTTTCGGTTATAAAAAAGATTCCCAACCAAAAAATACCCCAAAACATAGCAATCTTTAGAGAAATTATATAATACATCTGAATACATAAATTATATTAATTAAAAAAATATATGAATACATTTATGACATATAGCGAGATAGTGAATACAATGAAATACATAGAATACAGCGGGATACATTGAAATACAATTAAAAAAAAGACAGTGAATACAATGAAATACATGGAATACAATGAGTTACATTGAATTACAATGAAAAAAAAGACAATAAATACAATGACATACATGAAAATACAGCGTGTTACGTTGAAAATACATTGAAATATATTAACAAAAAATCAAGTTGCTCAACCCCAAACTCCGTCGTCTTTGTTCAAGAACAAACCCTAACTTTCGGCGGATCCGCTATCGAGCAATGGTGGCAGAATAAGGACTCTGTTAAAGCTTGAATCTTGTATTGAAGATGAGGGAAGTTGAGAACCTCGAGTTTATCCAATATTAGGACTTTTCTTTCTCCATAAGATGAACCTCGAGAAGATGACGTTGTCGAACAATGATGACATAATAAGGACTCTTCTTTCTCTAATCTATACCCTGTCACACAAGATTTGACTCAAAAAGAGAATAAATAACTAACCAAAAATGAGATTTAAAAGTTGCAAAAATGTTCTCATTTCACGCGTCCAAATAGCGAAAGAAGTTTCAGAATATGTACCTCTGAGCATGAATGAATCCGAAAAAGTGTTCTTTTTGGATTTATTTTCGACGTTGAGAAGAACAGTTTTTCCCGGAACATCGGAAGAATCATGACTGCACAAATTAAATATAAAAGAGAATGACATGTATCAAAGTAAAGAGAGAAAGAAATAGTGTATCTGAATAGCGTATTTAGTGGCTTAGGGGTAGGAGGTAACCAAAATTAGATATTTTGCTATAAACATTAAAAAGTATCTATACAATATAATTTTTTTAAATGATATTTATTTAAAATAAATAAGGTGTTAATATTTGCTATAGAAGGTAAAAATCCCTATTTAAAAACTACCCCTTCTAAGGCCATTCATGTCGACCACCCGGATCATGCTCCGGAATCCTTTTCTTCTATAAGCCCATTAGGGTGGACATAGCCCCATCTGCGACTCTACAAAGTTGTACGGCGTGACGCGGTGAGCAGCTGAGATTTGAGGATGGAGATGCTATGCGCCTATGCGTAGATGCGGTACGAAAAGAGTAACCATCAAAGGTTGAAAATGGTCATAGGTACACCTTTTCTTTCACAAAATGGGACTTGGATAATATTTATGTACTTCATTGTATTATGCAATCTTCAAAAGCTTTACTCACCTTCCTTGCAAGATCAATTCAATAGCTGGAAATACAAGCAGCGACGGAGCTAGAACACAGGTTCGATCGAGCTCAATAGCTTTAATCCAAATTGAAATATAAGAATTATTAATTTAAAATCAAGTAACTTAATTATTAATTTCGAAACAAGCTGCAGAGAATCCATTAAGCACGGCTGAGGGGTTCCATAACCCAGCCGCACATTTGGGCATATAGCAAACGGGCGTGCATGTTCTTTCGCACAAGGACTCGCGGTCATCACCGCGCCTACATTATACACTGCATATCTCATGTCTTCAAACCAAACATTTTAGCGGCAATACATCACTCTTGTACCGAACCTAAATATTGATATATCGAGAAAATGAGAATTTGTAATTGGAACATATTCCATTCATACTCCTTAATTCCAACCTATCTGGATTAGTGAATTAAAAGTAATGAATAAGCATCAAATACTAAATATGCACTTTTAAGTGCGGTAACTGGAAATACTAGTAGTACTTAATAAGCATTCTTGCTGACACACTATTCTGCTTTTATTTAGTCTTTTTGTAGTTGATGAGTTGTGTTTGAAATGACAATTTTGGACAATATTATACCTTCAACTGTACGTTAGAACAATTACATGGATCTTTATATCGTGAAACTTGCGATTTTACACTGGTCAGGGAAGTGGAACTGCATTCCTTTCCTGTCTACTGATGACATTGGTACTATGCCGGTGGATGTATGTTTTAAATTTATGTTCCTTTAGAGACCTCAAATAAATATATAATAAATAAATGGGTTTATAATTAAATATTTTATAGATATTTAATAAATTTTTTAATATATGTATAAAATATATGTAAAAGCTATTGGGTTCATGTGAATCCACAACTGCTAGCTGGATCAACTCCTATGCACATATATATTTGATAAATGAAAGATGATCAACTACAAATCGAGCATAATCTCTCTCATAGTCTCATCGATCTATGATTGATGCTTAAACATTTATAAATGAGGACTGACGTTGCCTTGGGGGCACTGAGTTCTCTCTTCTTCATTTTTCGCTATCAAACCTTTTGGATATTATTGGTCTGGACTCAACTCATCACTCACTAATTAACATAATTATGGTGTGAGGTACGTTACTTCCACTCTACCATTTGTTTAATACCAAATCCAATTTCTCTCTAGCAAGAAACAAAAGAAAAATAAAATACTTACAAAGATGAAGTGACGCGAGCATAATTAATGTTTCATTTAGTAATTGTATAGGTTCAAATTTGGACGACCACGGTCACTACTGAGTACGACGAGGAACGAGGTCCTTACGATGTAGCATTCTTTGGTCGTTATAAAGGGTGACGATCAACAGTGATTAGCGAGCATACGGCGTCTGCAGCAATGTAAGCGTAGCAGGAGACAATAGGAATATGCTTTTCGAATATTCCTTGTATTATACCTTTTTAGAGTTTAAAAGGAGATTGTCCCTTGTAAATAGGTGGAGAACATTTTGTAGAAGGGGAGGGAAAAGTGAATACAAAAAGAGACAACTTTGCTTACTACAGTTTCGAGATCCATATATCATCCTTTATCTTAGTTAATCGCATTCATTACAATATTTTTTCTACATTTGAAGTTATCACATTTACGCTTAATCATTTGGTTCTGACATACTAGGAAGCATTATTTACCTTGTTCATCTCTTGCATCATTCAATTTAGATTTTATTATACTTGGCTGAGATTTACCTCTTCATCTTTTTTAATTGATTTAATAAAAAAAGTTTAAATATCTTTTGGTCAAACAATTTGGCGCCATCTATGGGGATTTCTTTAGCTAAGATTTTAGTTTCATCTAGACCTTTGAAAGGGATAATTACCTCCTCCTAGCTTTGCACAAACTAATAATGGCAGAGAAAGGAGATGCAAGGCAAAAAGCAATAGTAGGCGTCACAACCAACCTCCTGAACACCATCAATGAAGACAGCAGGGAAGATAACGAAAACGGGACACCCAGCACCACACCCAGGGGAGCCGCTTCACCTCCCCCGCACGAAAGCGTAACTGTTTCGCGCGAGAAGGAAGCCGTCACATCTACAACAAGAGAGGCACCACCGGCAGTAAGAATGAATGCTGGAAGAATGGCTAACAAGTACTCTGAACAACATACTTGATAAACCCGCCCAAAGGGATAACAAGAATGTTACACATGCAGATGTCACGATAAACGCTGATGAGCAAGATGCCCCCGTACAGGTAACACTCATGTCGCTAATGACGCAAGTAATGA